AGCAGCAGCAGAAGTAGTAGTAGTAACAACAACCAGGTCAAAACAGCGCGTAGGATCTAGGAATACCTAGGAGCTCATTGGTGGTTTAACAAGACTGAATCACGGGGAGCTGGGGTGGGGGTGGGGAGAGGAGCAGGACGCAAATGAATGATTCAGAGCTATCAGGAGACCCCAACACAAGGTGGCTGTGGAATTTTTGAAAAGTGGAGCGGCCCGCGCTCACCCCCCCTTGTACCTGAACATCCTTTGTCCAGCATGTTTAGAACCCGTTTGCGCAGTGCATGCGCGTGTGGCTTCGACCAAGCGAGTTCGGTACCAGCTTTCTGCTTGTTTTGCAAGCGAAAATCGCAACAAGTGTCAGCATTTAGTAACGAATGTGTTTCAGTGAGTTGCTTGGACTACTCTGAGCAAATCACTGACAATATGTCCTTGACCCACTAGGAGACAGAAAGCTGGCTAGATGGTTTGGCCCAAAAGGATCAATACACCCCAGGATTTTCACTTGTTAATTATGCCAGACCTCCGCCACGCTCAGTCAGTGATTCGCAGCGTTCCCCTGGCTTCCGTGGCCCTCTTCTCAATTTTGTCGATCTTGTGATATGCACCAAGGAAATCATAGACTGCCACATGTTAGACTGGCTACATTTAGGCTGTGTGTGAGTAAGTGCCGTATGGAAAGGAGATCAGCAAAAAGGACTAGCCATTTAGTCACGACCACGTAGTCGTGTTGTCATGCAAGAACTACAGACAGCGCTAAGACTACGCGTCGAAATAGGATTAAGCCGGGTTACCTGTCAAAGCAGAGGTCGAACACTGTAGTCGTCGCACACGTTGACCGTGCAATTAAATAGAAAGATTACCATGGATAACAGGAGGGTCCTGCGATAATACCGTGGCACAACATCCCAATAAGACGACACATCTCGAGGCACAGACCATGATCAACATGGTGGAGACCGGCTTCATACCTGCATGCGCCAAAGACCTGAAGAAGTGCGACAACATGAGCAGCAAAATCGCTCAGCCAAGAAAGGTTGCTTATGAAGCAATTGTGGATGAGCCGCTTGCCTGCAATGCAAGCGCTGAGGTCTACCAGCAATCCTCTCCCTGACCAAGCGAAAGTGATTGATGTCTGCAGCAACTTCGACTCATCAAAAACCCTTAACACCAAAGGCGAAAGGCAAACTGAGGCAAAGAAACCTCAAAACAAATTACAAGCTTTGTTCTCTGCAATGCGACCTCGTCAGCCAAGCTTTCCTGACCCCTGCTGGCCCCTCTCAGGCTGGAAAAGCTTAAGGCTTCCCTGGACGCCATGCCCCACGGAGACTGGGCTACCATAATGGGGATATCTAGTAAATAAGAGGGTTTCCTTCCAACAGTAACTTATAACTTAAAGTTCCTGTTCCTAAACCCTAAGCGGAACCCCAAACTATAGGAACTCAGTTAAGTTCCGTAACAGCAACCCAGGAGACCTCGAGAAGGAAGCAACCTACCTTTGCGACAGCGTGAAGGTTAAGATGGCTGCACTCCGAGAGGCAGATTTGGGGCCTTCTGGGTTTCGGGTTTGCAAGGGTTTAGGGGTTTGGGGTTTAGGGTTCAGTCAGGTTGCATGAAAAGTGTTGAATGCGGAGGGTGGCATCGCGGGGTAGCGCAAGGACTTGCAGCCGGGAGCTTGATGTTTGGAAGTGGGGGTGTGTCAGATTTCCCGCTTCAGAGCGTTCGGCTCAGATTTTGGATTCTGTCTCTGGCCTACGGAGAGCAAGGTTTGCTCTCGCATCCGTAGTCGTCCCGGAAACGGACTCTTATAAAAATTGCCACTTGTTCTGAGCTTGTTGGTATCTTGTTCGGATTTTCTGCGGTACTCTGGGGGTGTCTTTTGAGACGAATGAAATCGCTGTTGGCCCCTAGTTGTTGATGGCTGTGTCTAAAAGCCTCACCTTTGTGAGTCATTGTTTCCAGGCCGTCGACAAGGCGGAAACCATGATGGAGAGCAGCTGCTTGGCCGTAATACACTGGAGGATGCTTGACCTAAGGTGCCAAGCAAGTTATGTCATGCTGTGACATGTGACCCTTTTTGAGTTTCATGGGATTTGTGCTGAGGATTTTGGGCTTTTGGCACAGAATTTTCACGAGCATTCGGGCTTTTGGCCTCTCTGTCACGAGGTCTGTATCCGTACCCGACGTACGAGCAGATGATCTACTCGCACCATTTCTGAGCTTCCATTCCACCAGCGGCTGTCCTGAACAGCCAGCAAATCCTGTTTTGTTCTCGATGCCAGCTGGCCTTGACAGCTAGTTTTGTAAAATCGTTTACAACTCTTGCACGTGATTGGGAGCTTTGTGACAGAAAGGCAAGCGTAGCTGCATCTCTCTACTGTCAGAGTCAGAGCAGTATTTCCGTCTTCTCAACATAAAGTGCACCGACCTCCCGGCTGGTGGCTCCCAGCGTTTAGAAAGTGAGCTTGTGCAGCCTTTCGAGTCGAGCTTGAAGCCGAGCTGCCAAGCCCTTACATCGCTTTTCCGAACACCCTCAAGAACGAGATCCACAGCGCGCGCGGGCCACGAGAAAATCGAAAAGGAAGCTTCACCGAAGGCCCTTGGAACGGGGGGCCCTCAAGGTCCCAGTTTTGCAGGGTTCCTCCGTCTGCCGCATAGCCAGCAACACGCGATAGCCAAGTGCAGCGAGAGGCGACAGGAGCTGGCCGCGGAACAAAGCAGGCTCGAGAGCTGTGTTGCTTGGGGGAGCCTCAGGGTATTCGGGTTTCGGGTGCGCAGAAGGGCCGGCTGTTTGGAAGAAGGTTTCAATAGCATGAAGTTCATGCAGTGTACACAGAGCGTCAAGACGGAGAGCTCCAACTCGTCAGGTTGGAGGCGGTTCAGCGCCATGCTCTCAATCATGACACTGGAGTGTGGTAGGGCACTTTAAAGCAGCAGGCATGATTGAGTCTGCTTGAGGCATTCAGTGCCAAGTTCGTGGATGGCAGGGACGAAAGACCGCAAAGGCCACAGAAAGGCATCCCTTCCCCGTGCTTCAAGACCGCTTGCTGGCCACGGGCAGGCAAAGCGGAGTCGTGACAAGCAAAAGGCCGAGGGACGGGTTGGGTGTTGGGAGTGACAGATATTGAAAATCTGCGCAGAAGGTTCTGCACTGTGGTAAACACTCCTTGCGGCATTCGCGAGACGCGGGATAACTGTGTCGATGCCACTGGCTGTGTGGCTCTATCTCCTGCCTGGATTTCGAGCGTTGTTGTGCTGAGTCACGTTGCAAGATGCTCCATCATGGGCTGAGTTGACAGACCCCGCCTTGCTGTTTGGATTATGAGCTTCGGGTTCATGATGCACGGTCGCGGTTCACACGATAGGATCCAGAACAGCGACACGGCTTTCAGAAAGTAAAATCAGAGGCACTATCTGTGCATGAATCACTGGCTCCGACCACAAGTCCGAAAAGCCGAAACCCGAACTTCTACGTAAAACATATTTATGAAGAAACCGTAAAACACTTACTTAGATCACCGTAACAGCTCATAGGTTTTTAAAAATCATAGGTGTAGTTTTTTGAAACCCTATGTTTCTGATTTTTTAAAGCCTGGACGCCAAATCTTGGCCGGTCGCAGGCCAGCCTGGCCACCGAACGCAGGGGCCGCAGCAAGAGCGTGGGGGGGAGGGGTTGTGGTTCTTAAAGTGGGGTCCCTTGTTTAGGGCTTTGAGGTTCCCGGGTTGCTTGCCTTTGCGATGCTCAATTGCGGTGTCCAGTTTGGGGTCCCTTGGTTCGTGAACCTACCCAGATTTTCGGAGGAAAGCATGAGAAGCTATGTTTTCACACCGGGCATGAAGGAAAGGTCATAAGTCTTAAGTAGGATGAAGCATTCCATTGATACACTTCGTAGTCTACATCTGCAATGGTCGGGGTTGTCACCCAACCCTTCAGATTCACCTCCACTCCACCGTGCCCATGTGCGGAGCATCCAGCAGACACAAAGCCACCTTTCTTCCTTCATGCGTGTTTTGTCGCATTCTGAATTCTGGAGAATCTGTGTTGTAGACTGTTGCGCAGTCGCATCTCTGAGGCCGCGAGAAGCTGCTGCAACCTCCGCCTCTCGGTGTCAGACGGACGTATCGCGCGCCGAATATCGGCGCCGCTGCTTAGCAGCACTTCATCGTTGCTTCCCGTCCTTTATAGATTGAGCGGTGAGGGCCATCTTGAAGCGTAGGTTGATGTGGCAGGCTTGTTGTAGGTGAAGTTCAGCAAGTTCGAGGGGTCTACACTCATGCCGTCTCAATATTTATATCAGCTATGCATACGACACGTGTTCCCGGTCAGCGCTGCACTTGTGCAGGTCCCTGACGGGTTCTCTTCGCCAAAGCCCGATCGCACTGACTCACCGAGCCCCTCCCGTTCGGAGGCAGACCCACCACCTGAGCCGGAGCCAGACGAAACCACCGAGTCGCCTGGACACCCCGCGCAGAGCACCCCATGCATTGATTCCAGTGAAGGACCAACCCATGTGGGCTCAGATGCGGGTCAGGCAGATGTCCTGAGCCAACCCCGGAGCCCAAGCAGGTCTCCTCAGCCCTCACCCTCCCAATCACGCAGCCGATCTCCGAGCAGAGCCTCCGACGAGCTCAGCTGCGCCAGCCGAGAGCCGAGCCCAGGACCCGACGAGCGCAGCGAGCGCAGTGCCAGTGGATCGGCCACATCATCCAAGTCTCAAAGCAGGCCTTCGAAACGATCTACCGGGCACCGGCCTTAGTACTGTCTTAGAAACAGTAGGCGCCATGTCCGTGCTGAAAACCTCAGGCTGACCATAAGGCTTGATGCTGTCTACCTTGTGTTCTAAGCCCTCAAAAAGTATAAGGCACCAGCGCAAGAAGCAGTCCTCAAGGGACTCCGCAACTCCCAGCTCACGGAGCTCCGATCGATCTCCGAGCAGGTCGCCTAGTCCGTCACCCAGCCCGGGCCGCAGCTGCTTCTTCATGTGGGTAGTTCTCTAAATTAGGGTCCGTTTCTAGGGTTCGTTCTACAAGGGTGCCGTACTACATTGGGGATCCAACTTAGAGAACTACCCATATTCATATTAGTCATGAAATATTAAAACTATGAATAGTTTGAATAATTTTAATTGTGCTTTTCTACTAAAGTACGGGAGCCATGTACAGTAGATACTTCGTCTGTCTGCCTCGGAGATTCTGGCTCTAACGAGGGGCCGAAAAGATCATCTGGAGGGTTTTGCGAGCTCTCTTTATAGGGACCCTCATTTCCCAAAACCAGGATCCTCTTGTGTAGGTCTAAGTGCTCTTTTGGGCCAGCGTAATCAGCCGACGTCAGCCTATCATTCTCCGAAAGGAAAAAGGCTATGAAAAGTGCGGATCGCCGGCCTTGGACGAAAGGGAAGCCTAAACCTTCAGCCAACATGCCTCGCCTGGAGAGTCCTGGTGCCGAAACCCGAGGCCAAGGGTCCCTTCTTCAGGTCTGACGTGATTTGGTGAATGTGTGTTTGAACTGCATGATCATCTCCTTGCTTTTCTTTGTCTGAGCCTCATCAACACCAAGGGTCCCTGGGCGACCCTCCATCGGAAGTGCCTAGCCTTGGCACGGGGCCAAGTGGCTTTTGTACAGCAGCCTTGCACTGACCTTGTATCCGCACCCGGCTCAGTCATGCCGGGCAGGAAGGGTGATCAGAGGAGTCTTGTAATTATGGGGTTGGTGTCACATCATTATCTGGTTGTTCTGAAGCTGAACCTGACAATCAGGTTCCGCCGACTAGTGGCGTGAGTCTGGGCGGCAGCGGCGCCCACTTGTACATATTTGGCTCCATCCGGAGAGACCCGACTTCTGACCCCCACCATGAAAGCCTGGAAAGAGGTGTTGCAACCATGACATGCTAGGCTTGCCCGCAAATCGCTCAATACAGAAAGGGCTGCCCCATGATTTCGAGGGGGTGGGGGGCGAGTCTGAACATCAGGTGCCTTGGTTTGGGGCCTTCATTTTGAGGATCCTATTGGTTGGGGCTCCATACGAAGGTTCATCGTTGTCATAAGCCCAACTTAAGAAACTTGCAGAATGTTGGCAAGATGGTATGAGGCTGTTGCAGGGGGGCTGCGGGCTTAAAGGGTTTGTGGTCGGAGCCGACTCCATTCGAGGTACGAGGCCTGTTGCCAGAAAGGTTCAGGTCAGGAAGCAAGTGCTATCAATAGCCTTGTTACGTTGCAACTTTAAAGAACCGGCTAAATCAAGTTGTACAAGGTATGTGTAAGAACAGTGTAAAAGCAAGGCATTCAAAACCAGCAGCCGACATTCTCAACGATGATCTGAAGAAGAGCTACTACTGTAGTAGCAAGGAGTATGCAATAACAGTAACATTGATGTTTGCACCCTTGGACACCTGGCATCGGCTCGAAGACTCAGCTCCCGAACTGATTGGCCCAGCTTTGGCCTTCTACGGACCACAAGCTCAGAATGAAAGCTGCGATTGCTGCCTTGTTCCTGGCTGCTGAAGTGGCCGCCTATGGTCCGGAAGCCTTGCAGGATCGTGTAGGGCCTACGTCGCGCTTTATTTTATCGTACTTCAACCTCTAGTCATACATACTCTCCAGGCAGCAAAAGATCTAACGTAATCCTACGTCTCATGCAACATGCAAGGTTGGCGGCTTAGGAACCCCAAGCCCGAACGGTAACGGCTGTACTCTTGCACGCTTGATGCTCTGAGTAACTGCCATACAGAACTCCCAAATAAGAGGATCCTCAACATCATGACTCCTTTAGACATATAACCTTCAGTTTTGGGTGGAGGACATTGGGGTCTAAGGGGTTTGGGTGGAGGGCCTGCAGGGAGGTATTGGAACAGGCACCCGAGGTGTGCATCTCGCTCTCAACATTCTGGGTTTCAGAGAAACAAAGACCACCTTCTGGATCCAGAACCAATCCATGTCATGCAGAATGGATGCTTCCTACCCGGCACCGCATTCTACGGAAGGAATGCATAGATGGTTGCAACACACACTCATATCTCCGTGTATGTATGCAGGCAGGCAGGCCGGCAGGCAAGCAGGTAGGCAGGCAGGCAGGCAGGCGAGCAGGCAGGCAGGCAGGCAGGCAGGTAGGTAGGTCATGCATGGATCGATGCATGGGCATAGGGATGGACAAAGACTATATCTATATCTATATATATATATATATAGAGTATACACCTACACTTATTGGGGGTGTGTGGATGTGTGTGTGTGTGTGTATGCATACATTCATCTGTATATGTATACATATGTGTGTGTTATTGCATGTTATGGGGCTGTTATGACACAGGAGTTTCTGATTGGTGCAGGATGAGATCACCGACCTCCCTGGCGCACCGAGTGTGGAGTTTCGGATGTTCTCGGGGTACATTGACGTCGGCGAAGGCTGGGGCAAAGAGATTCAAGATGGGGGTTTGGGGGTTCGGGGCTCGTGGCTAGATGTCTTGTGGGGCTGAATGCTCAACGTTTAAACATAAGAGCAAACGGTGTCGCTGGTATGTTCAGTGGTACACGAGCAAGATTAAACTTGCTGCGATACTTAGATCAGCCCCAACGGGCGGTGGTTCGCAGCCTGCTTGGCGGGCCTGCTGGGACTATTCGTAGTGGTATCGGCGCCATGCCCTGGTGCTGGAGTAGTCCTTTTGGTGCCATATCTGTGCCACATTAGTTGTTTATGGTGGGCGTCATGCTCTTTGAGATGTTGCCGTAACTACACATTGGGGAGGATTGCCGCCATCACAGATGGTGCCCCTATGCAGATGTTGACGATGATGCCGGCAGTTCTTTTGATTATCGAGTATTTCGGCGTTGATGGCGATGACGATGATAATGATGAGAAACATGAAGATCTTGAATGACTTCCGCGGTCCAAACTGATGTTAAGATATCCGTTTCCCCATCAGATCTGCAAAAGCAACGCCAGAAATGCCCCAGAGGAACAGTATAGCACTGGGGAGGCAAACCAAGGAGCCACCCCATCCTCGTCAACGGACATCTGGACCCGCACAGGTCAGATGTTCTACTGGTTTGTGGAGTCGCAACGAGATGCTGCCCATGCGCCTGTGATTCTTTGGACGAACGGTGGTCCTGGTTGCAGTGGGCTGGCTGGCTTCCTGACCGAGCAGGGTCCGTTTCGAGTGAAAGCAGATGGAAAAACTCTATCCATGAACCATCTTGCATGGAACAAGATCGTCAACATGGTTTTCATTGAGCAGCCGGTGGGCGTGGGATTTTCAAAAACAGACAAAGAGATTCAGTATGGTGACCATCAGGCAGCAGAAGACAACTTCAAATTTGTTCTTGGCTTCTTCAAACGCTATCCAGAATACAAGGGAAACGACTTCTACATTTCCTCAGAGTCCTACGGCGGACATTACATGCCGACGCTGGGCAAGCTACTTGCTGACAGAGGTGCACTGGGGGTCGGACACAGTGAAGCAACGCTAAATGCACAAATGTAAGACATGCCGTAACCCTGCTTGTCAAGTTGTCCCGATACCTGTCAGACCTGTCATATCCCTGCGAGATGATGTTCCATCCTTTCGCGGGATTTTCTTGGGCAATCCATTGACATACATGACGTACAGAGATTATGGTCAGTACGGAACTGCATGGGGCCATCAGCTGCTGCCCGGTCCCTTGTGGATGCAGCATCTGGGATGATGCCAAGAATTGTTTTTCCTTTTCTCCTGTCCACACCGCGCCGTAGATATCCGTAGATTCATGGCCGAGGTATGACGCGGCAAAGTGTGCAACTACGTTCCCCGCCTCAGAGGCTTGCCAGAAGGTCACAGCTGAGATGGACAAGATCCTGTCTGGCTTCGACGTGTATGCCCTGGGCTTCCCAACATGCGACCGGGAAAGAAGTAGAAGCTGTTAGGCCCGGTTTGGAAGGCCGATGCCGTTCGGAGGTGCTTTTGCAGAGGCTTGAAGACCTCCTCCTTTAAGTGGGTGAGTTGATCTTGCCAACAGGCGCCAAACAAAAGCGAGACAGGTTTCCACGGGCAGGAGCTGTATTCCAAAACCAGCCTTCCTGAGGCGACCATGGAACAGCTGCGGGCCAGCAGGAGCGGCTCCAGTTGCTGGGCTCCAGTTGTTTGTGATTTAATTTAAATTAGCATAATGGGGATCTATAGT